GACACCCCCACTCGACAAATCTACGCTCACAAGGAACTGCAGAACAAACAATTACTACGCAACCAAAAGGCGATGACAGTAATATGTTCAAACGTCCCAGAACCCACTAGCGAATCGCTAAAAGGTAGACAAGCCGAGGAGCAAAACCGGTGGGCTGAAATAACCAGCGCACTCGGACTGAAAGTTCTCCCAACTAGTCTTACACGCCTTTCACGAAATCCATCATCTCCACACTTAGGGGAACCTCGGTTACTGCGAGTAACGTTTGGCAACACGCGTGACCTGGAAGATGTTCTCTTAGCAAGCCACATGCTAGTGAACTCTTCTGTCAGTGCCCGCATTTTTCCTGACAGGCCATGGGCAGAAAGACAGAAGCATAAATCCAACCCTAGTTCGTCACGTCAAAATGAGATGAAGAAAGTGGTACTGGTTCATGGTGTGCCAGAATTGAAGCATGACGATAGCAGTGAACGACAGAAGCACGACATCGAAGAATGGCGGTACATCGCAGAACTATACGACATGCAGAATGTCGTGGCTTTTGACGTCACCCGTCTAACTGCTTCCACAAACTACCAAGGTAGCGGGCCACGAATTTTGAAAGTTACCTTGGCTGCGCCCGAAATGGTATCAGTGGCAATCCAAGCATGGCATGACAACAGGAAACTTGGGCCACCAGAAGTACGGTTAAGACCATTCCAATTAGTACAGACCTCAGATACAGATGAGCCAGCCTCAATTGTACCCATCTCAAACCAGCCAACTGTGCAAACAACCGTTTCAAAAAACTTCAGCAGACCGGCACTATTTGTGCCGGTCACTCACAGCGAACCGAGCTCCTGATGCGTCAACAAATACAATGCTGCTACACCAACACTCAGGGGTTGTACTCTAAGCTCTCGGAGCTGCGCCACCGACATGAAACAACAACTTGGGACCTCATAGCAGTCACTGAAACTTGGCTCTCAAACGACATACTTGATCCGGAGATTGAACTCAGTGAGATGTCAGTCATTCGAAATGATCGTCCATCTCGCGGGGGCGGTGTTGCTCTCTACTATCGAGATTATCTGAAATGTGAGGCACTTACCGAAAATTCCCTTGTTATTCCCGACGCACTATTTTGCCGACTGCACCTAGCAGGTCGAGATGTTGGTTCACAGAAGAAGAGTGATGCTTGCCTCTTAGCAGTTATTTATAGACCTCCGAACTCATCAGCAGACAGCGATAACATTCTGTTAAACGCCCTCCGCTATGCTGTTTCACAAAAGTACTCTCACTATCTTATAATGGGTGACTTTAATGTTCCTTCAATAGCATCAATGTCCCCTAATGGGCCATCATTTAAATCGAAACTCCTCGAATTCATGGATATGGCAGTTTTGTATAACCATGTGCATCGACCAACCAGACATCGCGGTTCAAACAAGCCATCACTCCTGGACTTAATCCTGACTAATGAAGAGTTGATGGTTGAGTCAGTAGCATACGATCCTCCACTGGGCCGTAGCGACCATTCAGTCCTAACATTCGGTTATGTATGTTATGCCAGTATTGTTGCTAAAGAAAGAGAGACTCAACGCACTATTACGGACTATTATAAGCTGCGCAGCTTAGCAGCAACCGTTGACTGGGACGTACAGACGCACAGCTCAGCGAATGACGCGTGGAATGAATTGAAAGACAAAATTAACTGGGTCATACAATCAGCATCGAAGGTTGTACCATTGCGAGCATCGCGCCGGGCCAATACGTGGATCCGGAGCAGAACACGTAAATGGATCAACAGAAGAGATGAAATCTGGAGGCAACATTTGCTAAGCCCATGTGATATCACATGGCAGGATTACAAAGTCATCAGAAACTACTGCACGTCACTCATTAGAGTCGATAAGTACGAATGGCAGGAGAATATGGTGCTGAAATTTACGAGTAACACCAAACTGCTCTACAGGTTTGTGAATGGCAAAAGAAAGGTTAAGCCCGGAATACCACCACTCAGGACGGCCAGTGGCCTAACAACTACTGCTGTGGATGCCGCGAATGCTCTACTCCTGCAGTTTGGCTCGGTAGCTACAAATGTCATGGAACCTTCGCCCTATCAACTCCCAACAAATGTCGTTGGCTTATCCAGCGTCACCTTTACTCCAGCAGCTGTTGCAAGCAAACTACAGTCTCTCCGGAAGTACAGTGCCCCTGGAATCGACATGATCTGCCCAAAAGTACTAAAAGCCCTTGCTCCCACCATAGCAACACCACTTGCAACCTTTTTCCAGTGTCTGCTTAACTCCCATACACTCCCATCTGAGTGGAAAAATGGAATTATCACTCCAATATATAAAGGAGGTAAGCGCTCGGATCCTGCTAACTACCGACCTATTACTCTCCTTCCTGTTTTGTCAAAAGTTATGGAATCGGTAATCGCAGATGAACTGACGAGATACTTTGAAAGTCAACAGATAATTTCTAATGCCCAACATGGGTTCCGACGCAGACGATCTTGCCTCACCAATTTGCTGATTACTCGGGACTTATGGACCAGGGCGGCTGATGAAGGAGTGCCCATAGATGTGATATACCTGGATTTTTCTAAAGCATTCGACAGGGTCAATCACTTCTTTCTCCTCCAAAAGCTTGCTGCCTACGGTATCAACGGTTCCCTGCTCACCTGGTTGGAAGACTACTTACACGACAGAGCAATCAAGGTAAGAGTAGCCGACACCTATTCCGAAAGCCTTTACGTCTCCAGTGGCGTTCCACAAGGATCTGTCCTCGGCCCGCTACTATTTTTAGTCTACATTAATGACCTTCCAGCAGACATTCTATCTCCAATGCAAATATTTGCAGACGATGCTAAAATATGGAGAGCAATTCGCTCAGCATCCGACCGTGTCTACCTCCAGGAAGATCTGACCCGGATTAACGAATGGGCAGAAAAGAACCAGCTCCCACTGAACCCTGCAAAGTGCCACCTGCTGACGGTGCACAACAGCTTCGTTAACACATACCTTTTGGGGCAACACGTCATGCAACACGTGACTAGTGAACGCGACCTAGGTATAATCGTGCAAGAGAGCCTTGGAAATTCGCTCCAATGTTCGAAAGCAGCAAGTGTAGCGAACTTGAACTTGAGACTTTTGAGGCGAGCTCTCGGCACTTTTGAGCGACAGCTAGTACCATTGTTGATTAACTCCTACATTCGTCCTCATGTTGAATATGCAATTCAGGCCTGGTGTCCATGGTTAAAACGAGACATCCGCCTTTTGGAACAGCCCCAAAGAAGAGCCACAAAAGCAACGCGTGGACTATCCGGTATAAGTTACGAAATGCGTCTTCGTGTTCTCGGTGTGTTCTCATTAGAATACCGACGGCTTCGCGGAGATCTTACTCTCACATACCGGATATTAACCGAAAGCGAGCATCCATGTACATCACTGTTGACTCTAGCCCCATACAAACAAAACCGAGGCAACCACCTGAAACTAATGACGCAACACTCTCGTTTGAATTGTAGAAAGTATTTTTTCTCACTTAGAATCTGTTCTCACTGGAATGCATTACCAAACTATGTGGTGAACGCACCAGACATGACGACATTCGAAAGACTCTTAGATTTTCATCTTAGTGATAAACGATATACAACACTTTGTTAAAGTGCAATGATTTAACCACTGATACTTTACGTTCCACGTTGGAACATTTTGCTTTTAATTTTCTTTTGCATATCCATCCTGTGGGTCTTGTAAAGTTATGCTTTTTATCCCATCATACACCATTGAACCATTGAACCATTAAAAGTACTCAGAAAGCACAGCAGAAGCAACTGCAATCAAACGGCTGCAGCCAGAACTGTGCTAATTGCATGTACTTGTGCAGTTTAACCCTAACTTGGCCATAGCCTGGTTAACTGGCTTCAGACATACTGTCTTTGGCATCGGGTTTAAATCGGTATCGATTGCCACCGGTCCTGTTTGTGAAGCATACACCTCGAATCATTGCATCGCTAGAAATAGCTCATGCTCCACTGAGTAGGTATCTCATGATTGTGTTTGCCTGACGACACTAATAGGAAAACGATTTCTTCGCAATCACCCTTTTGACTCAACTAGACATTCAACGTTCACCGGTCGAACGTTGAATGACGCGTAGCTTATGATCCCAAAATCAGAACAAGTTTGCATTGCACTATCTACAGTGCTATCAAAATATATACAGGTACCTAGGTACAGTTAACTGTTCAGGATTCCGGTAGATCATCGTCAAAAACAAGTTCCAGTTGAGTGGACGGGGAGGAAAGCGCTGTCGAAAACATTGATCAAAGCATGTAGCTACGGGATAAGTGGACCTACGATAGACGTGTGAAACTATTAAAAATGCCACTGGCCAATCGTTGATATCCCAATCACAGAGTGAGGAAAGGGTTCGAGATTAGCGGAAGGCATATGCATGCAAGTCACTAGGGTGTCGAAATTGATGACGTGTGCATCGCTTTGAGAAGGTGCTAACCATGTTGCGACGCCATGGCGGTGGCGATATCAGACCTAGTGTATGGGGCATCTGTCACAGTAGAGACAAAATTGAAATGTGCGCGAATATTGTTAGTGGGGGAATGAAGGTCTAAAGTTGGCGTAAACAACTGGATAGGGGTGTGGACGTATGGAGGATTGAACATTTACTGAAGCATGCAAATGGGAGGGGTCAGGTAGGACGATCAAGTTATCCGGGTTTTTTGATGACACGGTTCGGTGCACCAGCTGTCCTCGCAAACGCAATGGAAGGTCAATTGAATGTACCGAAAAGTGCCGTCCGAGTGACAACCGAGGGCACGTTTCCGTGGAAATTTCCAATAAATGCAAGGATCCACTAAAATGTATGTTGTGTATTTCTAGGATGTTGTGCTAGAATCCTAGTAGTTCAAATGTGAGTCGTCGTAACCCCAGTATCACTCGACGTCTATGGAGAGGGGAAGCAGAACACTCGGCTTCCGGATTGTCACAGAATTAAACTTGAATGTGCACAAACAACTCACCGGTTCGCTGTTGTCTCACCAATTCACTCAACGGCTGCAGACGATGCAACCCTTCGTAGTACAACCGCTCTTTGCGTTTCGGTGTGATCTGGTGTGTGAATATGTTGATACCGACGAACATCACACCCATAATGATGATGCGAAAACTGTGCTGTTCTCCGGCGGAACAGTCGCGATACCGTCGTCGATGTTGGACACCATGATCATGAATTTGAACGGAGTTTGTGAGGAGAACAGAGCATGGAGTTAATATAATTCATTATCGAGTATAGTAAGGGACACGTTAGATCGTGTGCGGGTAGGGAAAACGAAGTAAGAAAACGGCTTTCGCTCATTATCTTTAAGTAAAATCTTTGATTCGGCTTCAGTAGAGTGCCGAATGTAGTTTGAGCAGCGCAAATCCACTGCTCTTCTCAGGCGGCAGTGGCTGACAGCGACCGCGAACGAGCAGTTTAAACGCTAATCGGGAGAGCCTCACTAAGAAGCCCATCGCTGTACGAACTTGGATCGATAGTCCAATTTGCCCGAAGAAGATCCAGCATCCTATCCTTCATTAGTTGAAAGACACTGGTGTCGAGGCGTGCGAAGTTGGATTTCAACATCACGAATTTCTTCAACTAGTTCTACTGATGAACCTGCCACAGTGGTGCACAATGGGATTTTTCTACGAACGAAGTAAACCATCCCATGCTATGGGTGACAGCCCACGGCTGTCGATTTCTTTCTAATGAGATAGCGCAACGGCGCCAGACTCAGGCCAGTAGGTGTGTTACTCGCTAAAAATCTTGCAATCGAACACAACGGAGTTCCTCGCAAATGTTTAGGCGATAGACATACGCAGTTTACAGCCGGCGACTTCATGGACTAACAGCAGCGATAACATGGGATGCCAGGTAGCCAGGTGGCTAAAAGCGGCAATCGGTGAGGAAGATGAAATAGGAAACAGAATTGGTAATCCTCTTACCACCGTGGCTTGAGCTCATTTTACAAAATTTGGTGGTAATGGACTAGAGGGCTTGTGATCAAATAATGCTTTTCTGCTAGTAAACGTAAATCAAACTATTCACAGGCAACCGTACTCGTCGCTAGGAAAAGTGGCCTTCCACCGGCATCCTTGGAGTCTCTCAGTAAGTTCGTCAACGTTACACAGCATAACCTCTAGGCTTTCAGTTGAAAGAACTAAATACTAGGGGTTTCGTGTTGGAGCAGAAGTGAATGACCATTTGCAGAAACTAATAATCAATAATGTTGTGATTCAACTGCCGCTTGACCCGCTCCCTTGAAATCATCATTAACTTTGGTTGCAGGTTTCCAGCTAAGGCCGGAATGAACAATGAACAATGATTTATCACGGGATAAAAGCAAGGGCTTGACACGTCCCGTAAGATGGTTGAGGTGAATATGATGAAATCAAAATATATCTCGGTCATCTACCGCATGTCTGCCGAGATGAATACTTTGATAATTAACATCAGCGTAAAATGTTAAAAATTATCGAGCGTAAACGTTCAGAAAGACACTGGGGTGCAGTGATCGTTGAGGTAAGGAGTGAGAAAAGTAAAATATGGTCGCTCACTTAGGTCCATTTGATACATAAATCCTGTTGAAAAGCATGCTTGGCGGAATCCACAATAGAGGAGTTTAGGTAACAAAATGCTGGGAGCTAAGAACAACATCTAATCTTTTTTTGAGAACGTCCAAGGTAGGAGAGGATACAACTGAGTCTGGGAGTGCGTTCCAGGGTTGGCAAACCCGAAGGAACATAGCAGTGTAAACCAAACTGGGATGGAATGTTTCGCGAAAGTGTGTCCAGCGCTACTCTGCCAAAAATTCAGCTCAGCTACTCCTCGTAAAACCGGAATAAATAGAAGTGCAGCGCACACAGGTTACAGTTGAAGACGCAAAAGTTAACAAAGTGAATTCGTATACCGTCGTAAAGTGAATACACCATCTGATGCGATGCTGTGCTATTGAAAACCTGGTAGTGGCGGTGAACCAGTAGTGCTGGAAGCTTCCCCACCCACAGAGAGTGAGCGAAATAGCGTAAATATTCGTGATTATGTCCCACTTACAACGCCTAGTAAAAATACCACGATCAGCTGAACAGCACTCCAAAACAGCCAGTAAATCTATGTCAGAAAGCTGGAAGCCTCTACTGAAATCGGATTAGTAAGCAAAGCACGCTTTCACAACCGCAATAACGGTAGGTTACATTGACGTGAAGACTCACCACTATCTGACTGATTTTCACGTGGTTGTATTGCAACAGACGCCATAACGATGGCACATATTTGGCACGCGTGGTGGAAAACAGGTACACCTTCTCCAATCGAATACGCTAAACAAAGTAGGCGGAAAACGAATGTAATGGGGATGTCCAACTCGATAATGGTTTGATGACATTGCGCGTAACATGTGTAGAAGATAGGCTCAGGCAACGCAAACTTACGAAATCTGTCAGTAACAGCGTGAGGAATGGGTCAGCGAAGGGAAATACAAACAAAATGGTTCCATAAGCTGCTTCGAGCATGTGAAGTGGAATGAAGTAGATGGTAATGTTCACAAAGATGACGATCTAGAGAGTGGAGTAGGAGGGAGATTTGAATTAGATGCAACGGTCAGACTCCAGCAAAAGAGAAACCTTCATGGAGATATGATCGTATCAGTACTCGAAACCAACGGTGATACGTACTGGGACAAAGTTGATTTGTATCAAAAGAGAGTTACGAAGAGATTTTTTCGACAATTCTCGTCAAGCGGTTACAATTATGAAGTACGTAATCGGTGGGATAATATGCTTTCGCTAGCGTAGCATAGTTATGCCGTGTCGAGTTTCTGATGTGCCGCAGTCAAGACCCAATTTTGAACACAGTTGATTTGAGCATAGTGAAATACCGAACTGATGTTTACGCAATATTCACACACCAAAAATGAACACAAGTGTATGTACGATATAGTGTGAATACATAGTTCTCAACGTATACCAAAAGTATACAATAAGTGGTGAACTAGTATTTTTGCCAGTATTTGTAGCAGGTTAAGAAGCATTAGAAATTGTGGACTGCCTTACTTACGCCGAAGCGGACCTTATCAAAGGGACAACGAACAGCCATTCGGAATGGAAAAGATTGCACTTGCTTATCGACCAAGGCGAGCGAGTAATCGATAGGCTGATGGGCTTAATCTTCTAATCTTATCTAACCAGTCCGACTGGTGGTCGTTAAGGCCGCGACCATTATGACCTTACATCTAATTGGGTTCTCCTTGCTAGAAAGGAACTGACAAACACCGATAAGGACAGCGCCCTCAAGCGAAGTAGGCGCCCGCAGTAACGTACATTGCATTTTTTGGACATCCAGTCTTCTGATTAACGTCACATGTCCATACTGCGGGATTAGTTGATAGTACATATAATCGTGTCAATAACCGGATCAAAGTAAAGATATTATCTTGCAGTCACTTACCATGACAGTCGATCCGAAGAGAACTGTGGCGCCGCCTGCGCTTTGAAAAAACATGCAAAAGAGGTAGATAGTGACAATGTTGTCAAACGCCGCCAGCGAGTTTATCCAATTGTGTAAAACGACGTTTTGCCACGATGACAGTATATGACCCTGAAGAGGAATAGTGTTCAATAGAATGTTGTCAGCTAATTTTCCAAAAGTCAAACACTAAATAGCTGGTCATCTGTAAAAAATGACGCCGAAACTTGGGATAATCATTAAACGACGCTAGCAACTTACTCCGTGCTGGATTGGTCCAAACATGCGGAAGCACGGGACCATCTCTTATGCCATCACAAAAAGATGTAATCGAATTCTGCTTGTGTTTGCGTGTGTCCAATCAACAGGTGGTTATTTGGGCGGGGTTACGAACAAGACTGTAACGTGACTGGAAGTGTGCAAATTTCACACCGAAATTCCTCAACTTTTCTAGTGCTTGTCACTCGAGAACAAGCACGTTAGGAAAGACGATAATCGTAGATTCACGGTTCCCGCATGTCAACTACGGTACCGAAACTCGGTTAGATAACAGCTGGAGGATTATGAAAACGGTATCTATCGACATACCAGTAGTTACCAAAGCGATGTGATATGTAGGCATATTCCTATGGATCCGGATGCTGGTGGTTAGCCGTGATCACTTATGTGACTAGTTCCCGATTTTTTGATATCTGTGTCTAAACATATTGAACAAATGCGTTAAGACATGAGTTATCTGACGGTTAGGAAGATGATGTCTGTTGCATCTATTGCCGCGGTAATATGTTCTCGGATGTCACTAAGAAAAGGTTGAGATTTGGAGAATTCGTTGTGTTTATTTGACCGTATTTTCGTAGCCCTAAATGTGGGGTGACATTCCTGCTGACTTGACCTTATGATAGGATACAACCACGCTTGACGCGCATGCTCCAAGGTCATTTGGAATAATCCTCGATAACTTCTCTCTATCTTCTCGCAGAGTAGTCACCGTACGCTCATTCGAACCGGATTTACCAGCTCTACACAGTGAGCCATCATACGTGGAATTATCTTTTACCACTAATTGCTAACCATCCCTAACTGAGTTGAATGTCATCCGTGATTGAACACAAGCGAACAACTCATCCACTTTGTGCCCATTGCCTTTCTGTGTGACACGAATCGGTGCAAAATACTCGAGGTAGTCAGAAAAGCCTAAGCCTATTCCAAGTGGGTGTTACTCAGCGCATCTGTGACGGAAATTGTGATCTCTCAATCTGTGTTCAACGTTGTGTTTCTACTCATTGACTAGGTCCCAAACCAGCCGGGCCTAACAGCGATTGATCAAATGATCAACATTACAACGTGTGCTTACAAGGGATCACCGCTGACAGCGGCCGCGCCACGCTGACTCACGCTTATCATTGACGCGGGAAACCGCACTAACTGACCATCCGACAAACGCGTGACCTTAAAACTTCACCTCCTCGGCGAACATGTCTCACGTTAAGAGCAAGTGTGAGTTGTGCGTTAAATTGGTGAAGAGTGGGCTAGTTTGCATCAGTTGTTTGAAAACCTATCACAAAAAATACCTTGGGACGGAGCCCATAAAAAAGAGACGGTATAGTAACACGACAGAAGCTTTTGGTTCTGCCAAGTATGCAATTCTATCCCATTTGTTAGCTGTGTAGCTGTGCTACTGAAGAGGTGTGAAAGACTAACAGAAGCAGTGGAGCAATTGGTGATCGTCTGGATTACACCCATGGGAGGAAACGGACCTGCACTTGTATGTGAAAATAACACCTCAAATTCCTAGTCAGGCTGAAGAAGAGAGCCAGGCGACCCAATATTACCCCGACGACTAAGCATCCAGCAGTACCAACTCCATTCTCTCTCTGCTATAAGTAAAAACATTGTCTGCAGCGTGCCTGTTCCAACTTATGCACATCATGTTATAACCAGTAGTTTGTTCGCTTTGCACGAGACACTGAGCTGCAGTCAACCAGCCATAGTGAGGAACGTAGAGGTTGCCGCCAAGCAAACACCGGAAACAGCACGGATGGCCGCCAGCAGTGCCGTTCACAAATTCATCAAAAACACCGGATACTAAAGCTCAAAATCCAAAACCAGTAGCCACCAAGCGCAACCATGGTGCCTTAAACATTGTGTGCACTAATGTCTCCGAATCCAAGTCCACTACAATTAAGAGTAAGCTGACGGACGATCGAAATCAATGGAGTTCTATCTGTACGACAATCTGTGTCCATGCTGATCCCAGGACAGCAAAACGCATCTCGCTTCACCCAAACGCACTGCACTACGGTGAACCCCGGTTACATCGGGTAACACTAGACTCGGTGGACGAGACAGAGGCCATTCTGCAGTCTGCAAATCGTTTCCGCAACGACTCAAATTGCATGTGCATACTACCTGCAATCCCGCGGAAAGAACGTGCAGTGGATGTAATTAACAGAAAGAGGAACAAAACAAGTAAAGAGGAGAAAACTGTGGTTGCTTACGGTGTTACTGAGCTTACAGATTCCTCTTCCGATGATGCTCAAATGCACGACCACGAGCAATGGCACTACATTCGTGAGGCGCTTTCTCTCGAAAATGTCGTGGCCAATTCGTTGACAAGGATCCCCATATCACCGAACTATAAGGGGTGTGGTCCCAGGCTGCTGAAACTTGTGTTGCATTCAGAACTGACGGCACAAACTCTTCTAGAGAGCTGAACTAAATTCCGTAGCAGGTTGCCAACAGAAATTCGTCTGAAAGCAGCAGGAACACCACCACCTTCTAATAACAACTCGGTGGCGACACAACTCTCAATGAATACGCCAACAGCAGCACGCGACGCAAGGACGGTTTCAACAGTGGTCATAATATCTGGAGGGACACAGCAGAGCACGAGCGAACATCGGAATCCGGGGAATCTGATACTTGAATATCTACCAAATTCGTTTCGAGATTCTGCAACCCATCCAAAAAAGGATTAGTCGCCGACCCTTTATTTGTCGGCGTAAACTCACTTGCTTCATCCATCCAATCGAACACAGTTTTGCTCTCCGAGAAGCTCTCAATAATGTGCCCAAATGCCCAACGTTTACTCAGCAAATTAGCTTACTTAAGAGTTCGACACACGTCAGCAGATTGGGACCTCGTCATTGTCAGCGAAACGTGGTTGCGTTGTGACATAACGGATTTCGAAATCGCACTGACAGGTATGTCCATTGTCCGGAATGATCGAGCCAGAATGGTGGTGGGGTAGCCCACTGCTTTCGTAACAACCTGCAGTGCTAACCCATAAACGATTCGAAAACTGACGTACATGACTCCATTTGGTGTAGCATTCGGCTGAGAGGGAACGATCTTTGCGTAGTGGTTGTTTATCGCCAACCATCATCTACTCCTGAGATGGACTGCAATTTGGTGTCTGCGTTGAGGCAAGTGCTTAACAGAAAGTACAGTCACATTCTAATTACCTGCGACTTCAACTTACATACTCTAGAATCCCAGACCACGTCAGGAGAGCAAATCAAAGCAGAATCTGCAAGACCAGGTGTCAGACTTTCCACTTTTTGGCCTACGTCTCTGCCCC